AAGGCACTTTCACCCTCAAAATTTATCAGGTTGTCTGTCGCTTTACTTGCATATTCTGAACATGACAACCTAATAAAAGCCTAGTAAGAGAATCGTCATCTTTGTACACCACATAACGAAGGCAAAGCGTTTTTAGGTATGGGAGGCAAGCCGGAGAAGGAGCATCCACGAGAATCTTGTCGGAAATAGTAAGAGAAACAAGCGTATCGCATATGTATTGGCTCTTAGGTAGCAAGCTGGATAGGCTCTAACAACCAGCTGAGTTGGAACCATAGAAGGTGCACGTTGCGATTAACGACATCTGCAATCCACTTTCAGATATCAACATCAGCCGGACATGCTGGACCTAGTTCTATTCCCAAAGATATTAATACATGGGCTTTGTAGAGTTTCAGTGCATGACTCGTCAAGAAACCATCAAATACTTTTTTTTTTTTTTGTAAACATGTTAAGGATGCTTTCTTTGATTCCAGGGCGTTCTTGATAGCCACTCTCTTGGTATGAGAGTCGTGGTAGCAAGGTCCAAACGGACTGCCATCGTTTCGACAAAATTATGGTAGCCACTGCTTCTTTAGTAGGGAGACGAAACAATATATTTACGTGCAAATCGTCATGTAATGCACTAATCATGTCTTCGGTTCTCTTCACGAATCGATCACTGTATAGCAATGTCAGTATCTCAGATGCGACATACACTAAGCCGAATGTAATAAGCAAACGCCGTCCAAACATCATTTTCTCAATGACGCTACACCAATATGTTTTAGGGTTCAAAATTTATCTATATTACTCTCGAGCTTTTTTTGTATATATTTAAGGGAAATTTGGTTTAATATTCCAATTATTTTATAAATTTTGAAAACTAACCCTTGTTTTAAATCTTTTGAAATATAACTTTATTTTAGAATAAAAAGACAAGAATAGCCTAATAAGTTTAACAATTTACAATTACTAAAACCATATTGTTTTTTCAAATTTTGAAAATAAAAAATAAGCTTCGAAATTAACCTGAGTTTAGTAAATATATATATTGTGATATATCTTTTAAAGAAACTTACTAAATTTATAATACTAATTTATATTTAGATAAATAAATATATTATTAAAAAAAAAAGATATACACTTATTTACCAAAATCTATTCTTAACTTCATCAACCAATTAATAAATGTAGGCATTGCTATATTAGAAAAATAAACTTTGTTATATTTGGCTTTTCATTTGGTTATACATATTCTTTTTGTTTTTTGCTAAATCATTTGGTTCTACATATTCTATTCATGGCAATTTCAATTGAAGTTTTTTGCGCTATACTTTTTCTTATCACTTGTAAGATTTTTTCAAAAAATCAACATGATGATAAAAGAGTACTTTGATTTATATATCATGGAGTTTAGTAACACAATTGATAATAAAAAAATTAGCATCTTTCAAGAAGGTTAATAATAGCATCATATCAAGTTTCAAAAATTTAAGTTCATATGACATTTCTTTTTTAATTATTTTAAAAAATTATGTTAGTTTTATTCTAAATCGCACATTAAAATAAAATGATGATTATTTTCGTTTTTAATTTTGATAATTAAAAACAAGTTATCAGATTGATTATGGTATTTTGGTAATTTTTAGTATAGAAAGATTAATTTTTAAAAATTTAGAACATGGGTTACTTTTCAAAATATATAAAGTTTTGAGAATATTTTTACAAATTTCCTCTATATTTAAAGTTAATATTCCATTTTTCATTTTCTTTCCTAGATTTTTCCATATTTGTTACTAATCTCATTATAGTAGAGAAAAACATTTATGAAATACAATTAAGTGTTTTTTTTTCTTAATTCTGAATTTTTTGCCAGGAACTGTTATAGTTTTACACAACTCTACAAAGAAGCAAGAAGAAAAGAAACTCTCGGAGAAAACCGAAAACTTTAAGAACTTTATGGCACAGAAAGAAGAGAGTAAAACTAAGTAACTAACAAGACTTGCAGCTTCGCCTGCAATAGCCAGGAAGCTCAGCAGTTCCAACCATGTACTCTGGGTTCTTTGTGCATTCCCCAAGCACTGCCCATCTCTCACAGCTCTCGTTCGTATCCGTGCAGTTTGCCCCCGGTGTCACAATCCTATCGAACGAGTCAACGTGGATCCACTTGGTCGCAGACCATTTCTCTCCTTCGATCACGGGACATCCACCGTGAAGGCTCATTGGGTCCGGGATTGCGTCTGGGTGGAGGTTGAAGAACAACAAAGCATCCCCTTTCTTTGGTTTCACTGATAAATAACTACCCATCAAGACACAAACATATCTTTCACACAAAAGGAAAAATTTATAATCGGTTTTGGTTCTCACCGGCAATTCCTTTCTTGGCACAATCAGAAAGGTCTTCATTGTTTTCAGACAGCTTTCGCCGGGAAGGTACCTATGGAAATCAGATCTTCATGAGAGAGAATGACTCAAGAGTGATCATTTGGAGTAATTTTAAGCAAAAATCATCAATAGAACAAACCTCTGCATCTGGAAATACGGTTTCTCCACCTTTTGTCACATTGGATAGATACATGAGAACTGTTGCTATGCGGTGTCCACCACGGACAATGTTAACTTTATCATGAAAGTAGTCAAAGTGAGGATCATATTTTTGGCCGTGCTCGTATCTCAATACCTGAATGTCCTCCCCGTTTTCTGTCACCACAGAAGGTATAGCACCTTATGAAAATTTTCTTCTCAACTCTTTCAAGAATTCAAGATATTGAACTTTTCATGATTTTGCTATTATCTTAAGTGCTCACAAGCAAAGAAGTTCAAAGCAAATTCAGAGTGTATTATTGTACCTTTAGGAAGAAATGTCCAAGTGGAGATCTTGTCTTCTATACCGGAAACAATGGGATCCTGTAATACACCAAAGAAAACTGCAGATGATGGAGTAGCAGATCCCGGTACTCACAACAGTTACAGATCTGAGTCACGTCGATGCAATCACAGCAAATTTCATAATTGATTACCATTTATACCCAAGAACTTAACTTTACCTAGTCTGAAAAAGATTGGTAGCTAAG